GCCCACGGCCAGGGTGCCCACAGGCGAGGCACAGGAGGGCACCCCGCGGGGCTGCGGCCGGCCGACGGAGCCCGGCGCCGGAGCGGCGGCTCGACTCTTCTTTCCCGCCCCGCACGCTCCACACCCGGCCCGGCCACTTGCCGCGCCAATAAGCTGGGGATTCCGCCCGCAGCGCAGCGTTTTAAGTGAATGAGTCCTGCCTGTGACGTGGCTGCCCATATAAGGCCAAATATGGGTATTTCCCCGCCCCTCGGCCGTGGTCACGCCTTCCAGGGGGCGGAGTGGGGCGGGGCTCTCTCCTCCTCCCCCAGGGAGCCGGGCGAGCGGGGAGGGCGCTGAGCTTTAGTCAGCCCGGGAGGAGGAAGTGGAGGGCGCCTCCTCATTCTCTCCTTGGCGTTGCGCGGACGGACTCATCACTCTCGCATCACCACGACTGCCGGTGGGGTGTCTGGAACGCTGCGGGGCCGAAGTGACCCACGCTGTGCGGGAAGAGGAGGCTGTTGAGAAGGAGGCGGAGCTGGCGCCTCTCAGCCCGGCTCTCAGTTTCCTAGACGCAGGCCGGGGACCTGCTGGGGGCCGCGTGGGGCACCGCGCAAAGCAGGTCAGGGGAGCCGGCCACTACCCCGACGCGAGTCCGCAGCGGATTCCCGTCATTACCGAAGCCTTTACCCGTATAAGGAGACTTCAGGGCCTGGGCTATAGATGACACGAGCTGAGGTAACTGTCGGTAATCCTTGAGGCTCGGTGATGGGTAGCTGGAGGTTCCTTACACTGTTTTCTCCACTTCTCTGTAAGTTTGAAATTTGCCATAATAAAAGTTCCTGAAAGTAAAAATGAGGGTGGCCGTGGAAGAGCCAGCAGTTAATCTCCCCAAATGGATTCTACCCTCAAAGGATTGAGAGTCTTTTTCTCTGTCACTACAGTAATAATTAGAATAATAAATCGCTTTTGAGGGAGCCTTTTCTGGTCCCCGGGAAAGCTGTCGTGAGCTCAGCAACATACATCCGACGAGGGTGCACAGTCCAACCAAATGCTGTCCAGGTGGCTTCTGGATTTAAGGGATTATCTGTGGATCAAGTATAATCCCAGCCTGTCTACCCCCACAAGTCCCCAGGGGCTTCAGGCTTCCTACCCTTATTCCTGGGGCGCTTCACACGATTCACCTATTTAGCAAGTGTTTACTTAGGGTCCGCTTTGTCCCAGGGCTCTGCTAGCTGCGGGACACAAGGATGGAAACATGTTTCTGTCCTCAAGCTTTCCAACAACCATTTTGTTGTTTGTCTGGGGCCCTTTGATGGAAAACAGCCTACCTCCATTAGAGAGGAGCTTGTTGACAGCTGACATAAGGGAATGAGATTGTTAGAAGAAAGCAGAAATCAAATACAATCCAATCAGACACTGGGACAGCCAGCATTCCCTCTGGGTCACAGCCACAGTCAATGGAGTTGTCCTCGTCCTAGTCCTACCCATGAGGCCTTATGGTGATGTGGGGTCTTCTTTCTCTGTGGTTGTCTGTGCCAGCCTTCCCTGCATCCTGCTCCTCCTCCAGCATGCTGTGACCAGCACTATCTACCCCTAGGCATTTCAGCCCAGTACTTTGTATTGGGTACTGGCAACACTAAACTGAGTCCTCTCCCCCAGTTGCCCCAGCCCAGAGGGAAGACTTTTTAAGGGCCTGTAAGGGTTTGTGTGGTGGGGATCAGGGGGAGGGGAGCACTGGAGAAGGCCTCCCAGAGAAGCTGGGAACTGAGTCAACCAGGCTGTGAAGGGGAGGGAGGAAGAAACAATTTACAGTAAAGAAAACAAAAAACACAAAACCCCAGCATGGTTAGTACTGGAGGTGTGTGTGCAGGGGAAACCAAGGCACTTTTAGCATCTAGCAGGAAATTAAGCAGGGTCAGGTGACAGACAGCTTTGTGTGCTTTTGAAGGCATTGGGATCTTATCTGGTCAGGTTAGCATTCGGAGAGTCACTAAGGCAGCACTGTGGAAGATGAGTGTTTTATTTGCAAGTGGTGAAGGGGTCCAGACAGGTAAAAGCCAGACAGATAGGAAGCTTTGGTGGGTAATCTAGGGCCCTGCTCTGATAAGGGCCTGCCAGAACCCTGCAGTGATAGCAGCTACGGAGGAGCCACAGGATAGGGAGAATATTTAGGAAGTAAATTTGTGGAAATTGGGAGAGAGGAGCAGAGGGTGACACCAGAGTTTAACAGGAGAGACTGGGTAAATGCTCTTTAGATAAGACCCTACAGCAGCGGGTTCTCAACCTGTGGATCGCAACCCACAGGAACTGTATTATAGAGGAAGGTTGAGAACCACTGCCCTACAGGAACAGGTCTGGGGAAGGAGCAGAAAGGAGTGGGTGAAGTTCAAACATGGTAATGAATTAGAGTTGATCATCGCTACTCAAAGTGTGTGTGTGTGTCGGAATGCCCAGCAAGCAGATGAGTGGCCTGGCAACCAGAGCAGGAAGGTCGTCTGTCCACTAGATCTTGGTCATCTGTATGGCTCCCTCCATTCCCATCCAGACGACTAAATTCTAGGGCTCTGCTTCCCAGATCTCTCTTCTGACCTGCCCTCTCTAGTCCTACAGCCAGGGCTGACATCATGAGGGGGTCATGACAGCCGCACAGGGCTCTGTGCTTATTTAATACTCTGTTGTTGCTGAATTCGTTAATAATTTCCCCAGAAAGAAAAATATTGCATGTTCTCACTCCTACATGGGAGCTAAAAAGTTGATCTCATGGAGGAAGAGAGTAAAATGAGAGATACCAGAGAGAGGCTGGGAAGGGTGCATAGGTGGGATAGAAGATGACAAAAGACTGGTTAATGCATGTAGACATACAGTTAAAAAGCAGAAGTTCCAATATTCAACAGCAGAGTAGGGTATATTTCAAAGTAGCTGGAGGAGACAGCTTGAATTGTTCCCAGTACATAGAAATGACAAATACTCAAGGTGATGGGTACCCTGACTTCGTCTATACATCCTATGCATATAATAAAAATCACATGTTACCTCATAAATATGTAAAATATTATGTATCAATAAAATTTGTTTTCAGTCTTAATAATTTTTGGCCAAGGGATCCTGCATTTTCCTTTTGCACTGAGCCACACAAATTATGTGCTGGTCCTGACCATGACTTAGTCAAAGGGTCCCATTCCGCCCTACTCCCCACTGGCATCCTGTCTCCCAGTCTTGAGGCCCCCTCCTTGCCCTCTATCCTCTGCTATGTGATCTTCTTAAGCTTGGATCTGAGCATACAGCCACCTGCTCTGCTCAAAAACAATCAGTGCCACCTACACACTGTCTTGATCAAATCCAAATTCCTTAAGTGGAACACAAAGGTCTTGGTTCCTGCCAATTGGCCATAACCCACCTTTAACCTTGCTTCTCCCCTTATTTCTTGCCCTCCTTCCGCATTCTTTGTATGAGAATCTTTTCTGCCTTCACACAGCTTTGGAGCTACTGTTGCACCTCCAAGAAGCCACCTTTTACCCCTGGAGCCTCTTAGCAGCCCCTCTCTTGGGGTGATCTCATGGCTGGAGCAGTGTGTCTCCCTCGGATCTCATGGCTGGAGCAGTGTCTCCCTCCTCCCAGCCTGCCCACTGAGTGTTATCTGTCTTGCTTAAGCCTGCAGGCTCCCAAGCCAGACTCAGGGTCCTTATCGACCATCTGGGTCTCTCTCACAACACTCATGTGATAAGAGCTGAATCCGTGTTGGGGGAATGGAATTTAATGCTTGCTGAGACATGAGAGCAGCCTGCTTTGTAGCAGGACCTGGGGAGAAAATGGGCAACAGCTTAAATCAGGGCCTTAGCTACTGGGTAAGAGGCAAAATAGAAAGCTGTGGGTGCACAGTCTAGAGGGTCAAGAACTAGAAGAGCTCATCAGCCCCAGGTCTAGGAGGAAGAGGAGGGTGTCTGAGCCTGCCAGAGCTTACTGGAGTGAATAATCGTGCCTTCCCCCTACTGCTTTGGAATGGAGGGGAGGGCACACTGAGGGGTAAGGAAGAGGATTTCAATTAATATTGTGAGTCTATGAGGCAGGACCTTGTTCTGTTCAATAATCACTTTCCCTGCCAGTTATTCTCAGAGGGACAAGAAGTTTTTTAGAGTTCTTGGCCCTCATTTCACCAGTCATCCTAACCCTCCTGCCTTGGTTCATCACTGTAACCCAAGGCCACCCCTTGGAAGGTCATGGATGCGCCTCTGTAAAAGTTGTGGGCCCTCTGCTTGGGAACTGCACACACAGCATTCAGCTTACAATTTCAGGGAGTTCACAGGCTTGCAGAATCTTGGGAGCTCCTATGTCGGCTTCTGTTCATTGCAGCCTGAGCAGAGCTCCTGGGAGCTCTCCCTAGTTCTTCCCCAGCCCATAAGGTGGGCCAGGTGTCCTGGATCAGAGTGTACCCACAAACACAAGGGTCCAGAGCAGTACAAATCAAACCCAAGAGCCCTCTACGAGCCCCAGCCCTCTCAGAAGGTTGCATTTGCCTCCTCCATTTATTTACTTCATCATTTCTGGTTATGAAAGTAGTATATGCTCATGATTTATAATGTGGAAAAGGCAGAGAAATGAAAATAATGCTTCTCTTTTTTTTATGGCACTGCTTTTTCTGGCTTAAGATCCTATATCAAAGCTACTGCCAGACCTGGACCTAAGACTTACTTCCCACCATCTTCAATAAAAAGAAAAGCACTGGACTCAAAATCAAAGATCTTGATTCCCATCAGATCGCTGCCATTACCAGCTTTTATTTATTTATTCAATATTTATAGAGTGCCTTTTGGTGTACAGGTATTTCTCTCCTCGAGGCTCTTCCATTTCCCTTGCCGGCTGGTTCTTAGAATGAAGCAAATACAATGTTCTGTCAAGGGTACAGACAGCACTCGTGACTTGAGAATCACTCACCCTTAGAATCATGGTTTCCTTGTGTATAAAATAGGGACATTAATGTCCATTTGCTAATGGTGAGTGTCAATGACATAATGTACATAAAGCTGTATTGCTTGATGCAAGCATAAGATATTTGTATGGTGGTTGTTACTAATAATATTATCCATCATCAAAGCGTTCATTCATTTACTCATGCGGATACTGATGCACTGGTACATTCAGTTTCCTCTTTTGTAAAATGGGGATAAAAATAGGACTTAGATCATAGGGTACTTAAGATTCAGTGAGTTAATGCAAGTAAAGTACTTAGAACAGTCTTTAGAACATATTAAGAACTCGATAAATATTAGCTAGTTCAGAAGGTGGTAGTATTTGTTCCAGCCAAGAAAAGACTGTTCTCTAATGGCACAGGAAAAAAAGATGGGGTTTGGCATGACAAGGAAGTAGGACTTACTTACCTTCTGTCTAATTCATCTGGCAGTCAAAGAATTCTTAGGAGCCTGTAAACTTGTCCTTCCAAAGGCCTACTAAGTACAGGGAGCTATTTAAAGAATAAAAATATCTGGGCCCACTTATAAGTAAAGTAAGAGAGACACGAAACTGCTCACACAATAATGAGTACTAAATTGGCTGGTTTCATACAGAGAACTGAAGAGATTTGAGAGAAGTGTGAGATCAATAAAGTCTGGAGTATTAGAGCAGGCCTGGCAGAAGAATTTAGATTTGATTAAAAATCCCTGTAATTCTAAGAGCAG